AGAAATTTCAGATAACTGGTAGTTCTTACAAATCTTAGTGTTCAGACTTACAACATAACCTTATATAAAATTTAAAGTTAGGTAACTGCTTTTGACTTTGTGAACTTGCATGTCATGCTGGAATCATGTGCATCTTGCTATTAGATTCAAGATTTCTGTAAGTCGAGAACTGTGAAGAGAAAATTCCCTGGCTCACTCTGCTGAGCAGGCTAACAGAGGATTCAGAGGGCTGGGCCTGCAGGTTCCTTGCTTCCCAAAGACATCCTGGACTTGATCTGGAACAAACACAAGTAAATAAAGTAACTGGGTCACGATAAGAGGCTGCAGAGGAGTCTCCAGCTGGAGTCCAGCCTGGGCTACAGCACTTTGAAAACCCGTTTCAAAGGCACTTGTCTCCCCACACACTGTTAATGGGAAACTTTGCCAATGAACCACATTTACTTCTCCACTAAGATCAATAGTTGGTCTTGTAAAACTTTAAGACAATTCTGAAGCCATATCTGAACCCTCTCAGTACTTCCCCTCCTCCCCTGGGAACCAAGGACATAGCAGCTATGCATGCACGTACTGAGATGTTGGGAACTTTCCATCTCCCTGAATAGGGGCAAAATAACCCTTAGGTGTTGACTCAGTTACTGATGTTTTGACTTAGTCCCTGGGAAGGGGCAAAGTGACCCTCAGAAGTTTCCCCTTACCTTATCTGATCTGGCAACCACTCTCCAGCCAATTATTGGTAACAGCCCTTTTGAATAAGCCAATCATAATAGTTAAAGAACAACACCCAGATACCCCCCTCCATCCTTCTGTGGTTTTCCCTTTAAAAGTAGCCTGTACCAGCTATTCAGGGTCTTTCCTAGCCTCCCAAATGCTGGAAGACCCTGTCCTGACAGAATTAATAAAATCCTCATACTTTTACATCAGCTGTGTTGGTGAGAGATAGTCTCGGGCAACTCCTCCTCCGTGTTTGGAATCTAGGGTCCAACAGTCTGAACTGTTAAACTTAAATCTTAAAGAAGTATTGATGTAGCCGGGCGGTGGTGGCGCACGCCTTTAATCCCAGCACTCGGGAGGCAGAGGCAGGCGAATCCCTGTGAGTTCGAGGCCAGCCTGGTCTACAAGAGCTAGTTCCAGGACAGGCACCAAAAACTACAGAGAAACCCTGTCTCGAAAAATCCAAAAAAAAAAAAAAAGAAGTATTTGTAGAAGGCCGCAACCACACTCTCCACCATAGATGGCGCTGCACCGCCAGGTGAGCTAGAAAGCTCACACGTGTTGATAACTTTCCACTACTCCCAAAGTATCACCTGGGACTGGGAGCAGTTGACCAATCCAAGAGTGACACGTCCGAAGCTAGGACTGTTTCATATATAAGGGATGGGTTCCATCTTATCTGGGTCTCCGCCATGTGGCTTATGCTCTAGCTCCCAAGAGACATAAAGCTTTTCTGCAGAAGGATCCTGTGTCCCGCGTGGTTCTTGCAGGCGAGGCCGAGCGCAGGGCAAGTATTGATGTTTTTCTTGAACTCATTTTCCAACAGGATTGTGGTTGATTTTTAATTAGAATTTTCAGATTTATGTAACATGGTATTTAACAATGGGTCTTGTAATCAGGCTGACCCTGAATCCCCTACATTGTTGGGGTTGACTTTGAACTGCTGTCCTCCTGTGTTAGCCTCTTGGGTGTTGAATCACTCAGATGTGTACTACCACACCTGGTTTATTTGGTTCTAGAGCTCAAAGCCAAGGTTTCACATGCAAACTGAGCTACATCCTCACTCCAATATGCTGCATTTTAGTCATTAAAACTGTGCTTGTGGTCGTACAAGCCTCTGAGGGCTGGGAGGCAGAAGCATAAAGTTCAAGGCCAGTCTGGACTCACAGAGCGGTCCAGTTCCGAAAACTAAGAGGGTTGTGCATGTAGCTCAATGGGAGTACACTTGCTTGGCCTACGTTTGACCCAAAGCACTTAAGAAAAAAATTCTGCCAGGTGGTGGTGGTGCATGCCTTTAATCCCAGCACTCAGGAGGCAGAGGCAGGCAGGTCTCTGAGTTCAAGGCCAGCCCCTGGTCTACAGAGTGAGTTCCAGGATAGCTAGGGCTACACGGAGAATGGAGAAACCCTGTCTCGAAAAACAACAAAAAAGTGAAATTAGAAATAGTGTTATTTTCTCAAAGCCTATCTATTTTTCTCAGGTTCAGAAACCATCACCTGAGATGCCAGAGATCCCTGGGAAGAAGCTAATGTGTGATGAGTACATTTAGAGAAGTCTAGAAAAGATTATTTCAAATGACATAGCAAATTTATACACAGGAAAGGCTTTGAATAGTGCACAACTATTTTCAACTTTGGGAGGACTGGAAAATGCTTTGGAACCTCACAAGTAATAACTCAGTTCAAGATGACATTTAAAAACAGGCACTCACTGCTGCTGTTCTCCTGCCGAGACTAGTGTTCAAGACATTTCCATCAGAGACTGCTCTGACTGGAATGTGGTTAAACCCCAAGAGTACAGAATGCGGAGTGCTAGAGGGGGCCCTACCTTTCCTTTTCAGGATCTATAAGCAGTTAATGGTTAATGAGGTGGGAAAAACGTTTTCTTCAGGGTTGTCCCTTACCTTAACTGTAAAGCCCTCCCCCGTGGTCCTGTAAACAACCGCTGTCTGGATGAGAGGACTAGTGGTGAAGAGCGAAGAGCCGTGGGAGTGGACACGTGTGTGGAAACTATCCCAGGACAATGGAAACGCCTGCTTCTAAAGGGGAGAATCTAGTAGGAAATTTTCTCTGTGTGTCCAGAAGTCAAGACATTAGGTGTCTTCAATGTTCTCCATTTTTTTTTTAATTACATTTTTGTGTGGGCAAGTGTGTTAGAGAACAGGTTGGTTCTCTTCCACTACATAGGTCCTGGGGACCAGACTCAGTTTGCCACACTCAGGAGCCTTTATCCACTAAACCATCTTGCCAGTTCTGAAAATTTTCTCTTTACCTGGGTATGTTTTCCCAGAGATCATTGAGCTAAACGCATAGGTCAACTACACCAGCAGCTTAAGGCCTGTGAACTCAAGGGGATCTGGTTTCATGCTGGCCTCATCAAAAAAATGTGAAACTGAATGGCAATTAGCTTGTTCTCGTCCATGATTGCTACCAATGAAAATACTGACTTAAAAATAATTATTCAGGTCTGCTTCCTGAAAGCCAGCCCCCTTGAACTAGATGTTTCCTAGCAAGCATAAACAGCAGAATTACCAAGAATCTAAGGTGTGAAGTTGTGAAAACAGCACAAGGACAAAGTTCACTCAGTGAAGTGTGAAGACCTGGATTCCACTCCTGGGTGGTACGACCTTGACTCTTTGACAGCTTGCTATTTTACAAGAAATTTAAACTGCTAAGATTTCAAGCTTTAGGAGATAGTTAACTGGAAAACCCTACCAGGAATGTTATAATCAGAAGTGAGTTCTAGGAATGCAGGCATGCATAATAGAAATAGATGCTGAATTGTGAGACTATTCATTGAGTTATCCATTATCAAATAGTGTTATGTTTTTGGTTGAGATGGTATTTTATTTTATGGCTCAGGCTGGTCCTGAATGCTGTTTTTCTACCTTAGTCTCCTGTGCTTGTGGGGCTGGAGAGTTGGCTCAGTGGTTAAGAGCACCTGTTGCCAAAGACCCAGGCTTGATTCCTAGCACCCACATAGAGGCTCACCACCTCCTCAGGAACCAAGCATGCATGTGGTGTACAGCTGTACATGCAAGCAAAACACTCATATACATAAAATAATAAAAATAAATAATAAAAAAGCAGTGTGCTGTATCTGAAAGCCTTGAGCTCCTGCTGTCTAAACCTCTATCTCCAGAGTGCTTGGGTTGCCACTGTGTGCCACCACACCCTGGCCCAGACCCATCTTCAGTGAGCTTGGTAGGACTGGCTATATGATTGGTGATCCAATAGAGACATGGAGATGTGGGACAGGCAAGTCAGAACACTCTGGCACAGATGGTCACTGACAAGCTGAGAAGCTAGGGTTGGATCCTTCCTCAGTGGTCCTCAGGAGGAACACCGCTGCCAGTGGTGCCAGAGCTGAGAACTGCTCTGCAGTGGTTACAGCAGCCGCGCTGCAGTGGTTACAGCAGCCGCGCTGCAGTGGTTACAGCAGCCGCTCTGCAGTGGTGACAGCAGCCACTAGGATGCAGACAGACTCAGCAGTACATTACACCAGAACCTAACTATGCCAATACTTCAGTGGGTCTTCTCAATCCATACATTTTTGCCACAAGTTGGGCCATGACTTCGTAGGATTATGACTGAGGATGAAATGCTAGGAGCTCTGGTAACAGGCACTTCGATGAAGATTAAAGTGCCAGTTGGTTATGAAGGAGTGTGAGGTGGTTACATGCTTAGTTTCACACATTCCCAGCTCTGTTTACATCCTTCAACTTAAGCAGAGGCTTTAGAAATGTTTGTTGGTGTGGTGTTTAAAGCCTGCCTCCCCAGCACTGAGAGGCTGAGGCGGGATTTTGACAGCTGGAACCCAGCTTGGGCTACAGAGTGAAGCCTCGTCTCAACCCAGTTATAGCAGTTACTAACTTCAGTTCCAGGGGATCTGATGCCCTCCTCGGGCCTCCATGGATACTGCACATCTGGTGTGCTTACATACAGGTAAACATCCCGCATTAAATCTAAACACCACACTACACATATATGCTCTGTGCCCTAACTCTGGTAGTGCAGAAGTTAGACTTCATAGAAGGTGGTCTTCAGTTTTAAAGACAAGACGGCAGCTCCTGTGGTAAAGAAAGAAAACTGTGGTCTGTTTCTTCAGCACCTTTGTTTGCATTCAGGAACTTGAAAGCATAGGCAAGAAACTGGAAAATAGTCATCAAAAGTGACAACTACAGACTGTCATGCAATTGAAAACACCTCCATTAAATATAATTATATACTGAAAAATGCAGTAATGCCAGAAAACAGCCAGAAAACTTGTCAAAGGCAAATTATACAAGGTATGTTTCAGATCACCCATTTTAATATTAAAAAAAATATTATTTTACATAAACATTATGTAAAGGTAACAGTCAGGTAGTCTCATGGACTGGAAGGTGACTGATTAATTCCCTTTCATTCCCAAACCTCATCAGGCAGTCAGTGCATTTATGAGGCAAGTCAGCTGAATGCTTGAAATCAAGATGAATTTTAAGATCTTCAATTTGTCCTGTTGAATATTCACAATATTGGCATAAATAAATCCCTTCAGATAAATGTGAATTTAGATGCTTGCAATATTCTAACATGCTGGAAAAGCCCTTCCCACAGTCATCACAAACGTGGGGGAAGATTTTAGTATGCTCGATAGCAACGTGTCTGTTCACGTTTGTGTGAAGTCTGCTACGAAATCCACATACTTGACACACGAAGAAGTTCTTGCATTTGTCAAAGGTGATCTTGCTTAAAAGGCTGCACTGCCCGTGCCCACCACCGCTGCACTTGTCACTGAGCTCTATCAGTCTTCGAGCATGCTCATTGACCACGTGGCTGTGCAGGTCCTCGGGGTCGCCTGTCTCGTGCTCACAGAACTGGCACAGGTACTGCTCGTCACGGCTGTGCTCCTGGAAGTGCAGGTAGAGCTCACTGCTTGAGGAGAACTGCATGTCACACTGCTCGCACCAGTAAAGGTGGTCGCTGAAGTGGGTGTCCGCAATGTGCTGGCTGAGGTTCTCAAAGATCACTGTCTTATAGTCACAGTACTTACAGATGTAGGGGTCTTCTTCATGAAGTTTGGCATGCTCAATGAGAAGCATATTGGTAGAAAAGCTTTCCTTACACACTCGACACACATTCGAATCAGTGCGCTTGTGTTTCAGGATCATATGCTGCTTTAGGTCAGAAAAGTATTTACTGTTGAATTCACAAAGTTCACACTTGTAGAGGCCACTGCTGTTGGCTCTCAGTAAAGGCCACTTCTGTTGGGCAGTCACATTCAAAGCTTGGCTCTTGTCAAGTATTTTACAGAGTTTAGCTGGTGGTTCTTCATCAGTCTGGTCTTGGAGGCTCTCGGAGGAATTGTTCTCTGTCTCTATATCATAATCTTCAGAAATGGCATGAACTTCTACAGCAATTGGGACATCTTCTGAAGTGTGAACCTCTATAGGGCTCTCCTCTTGAGTGTGCTGAGGCACGGACTCAGGTGAATCACATTCTTCATCACAGATTTCCACATCAGCAGACTTTTCTGAAACAGAGGAAGCCCGCTGTTGTAGTACTGTACACAGCACACCCAATTAGACACCACTGTCCCACTGCACTAAGCCCTTCAGAACCAGTTGTCCCAGTACTGTAGCACTGTGCTAAGTCCCATTAGAAACAACTGTGTGAACAGTAGTTACAGCATGCACTGCTTTTACCTGCTCTGTACAGCATACAATAAGTGCTATTAGGTAATGAGTTCCCCTAACCTGTGGAAAAGACAGTGTGGTCTAGAATTCTAAGCACAGGGCTGGGAACAAGGTAGTTCTGATTCCTGTTTCTGGCCTTGGTTCCATCTGTAAATTTGGGCAAGTCATTTGATGTCTCAGGATCAGAATCATCATCTGTAAAAAGAATTTGGAAAAACATTTTATATCAAAGCATTAACCATCACAAAATACTTAACACCAATAGGAACAGCAGACTTAGCCATGAAAGGACATATTGCCTATTGCAGATCCCTACAGACACTGAGAATATACCAGAATAATCCACTGCCTTGTTTATACGCCCAACTTACTGGAATACACTCTGAATTTCCGAAGGAACGAGAATGAATCATTCCTTCAGTTCAGCCTTGTTCCCTCCCAGTTAGCATGATCTAAGGGTCAATAGAGAACACTGGATGGCAGTATATATGTGTGTGTGTTTTTAAAAAACAATTTTGTAAAAGAACAATTTTAAACTTAGGGGGAAAATCATGAAAACAGTGTAAAGTACTCCTAACATATCACAACATTTCCACTATTAATTATTTACACTAGTATGGGGCATTTGTTGCAATTAATGATTGATATATGGCCACTGATACTGATATATTATTACTAACTGAAGCCCATACTTTCATCCAGACTTACTTTGTTTTTACCCAATGTCCTTTTGGATCCCACATACATTTAGTCATATCTTTCTAGGTGACTGAAAATTGACTGTCTTAAGGACTATTGTCAGCCATTTTGTAGAATGCTCTACTAATGGAACTTATCTATTTCTTTTTTTCATGATTAGATTGGAATTATGAGATCCTGGAAGGCAGACCTGCCTACCATCCCTTCCAGAATGCACATAACTGCTGAGCTACCCTCCTGACCTGGTCAGTGTGGCACCTGGTTTCTGTGCTGTGAAAATGTCTTTGTCCTCCCATACTCTCCTCTCTGAACGTCACTGTGATGCCTACACCAAGAGGTGGAAAGTTGGGTTCCATCTCCTTAAGGGAGGAATTCATGCCAGGTGGTTATGGTTCACACCTTTAATCCCAGCACTCAGGAGGCAGAGGCAGGCTGATCTCTTGAGTTCAAGGCCAGCCTGGTCTACAGCACTCCAGGATAGTCGTGGCTACACAGGGAAACTTGTCTTGAAAAAAAAAAAAAAGGGGGGGGGGTTCTTTTGTGCAGGCAATTTTTCTTTTCTACCCCTATATATGCATGATCATCTATAGCAGTATAGATTCATGTTTCTCAAATTATTTCAGCTTTGGCTATTGGAAGCTTTCCTTTTGTCTTCAATGCTTGGGTGGAAGCCAGAGGCTCATGTGTGCTAGGCAATCTCTCTGTCACCTGAGCTCCACCTAGGCCTCAAGAGTGCCTTCAGCTCATCCGTACTGTGTGTGTTGCTGTTTTTCAATACTTCCTATTTTCCAGCACTACAAGATATTCCAAACTCATCCTGTCTATCTCCTCCCCAGATCTGGAGCCAGCCATGGCTACAGGGGCTTTAGTTCGTTGGTATTTTAAACCAAGACCTGAACACAAAATATGCTCACTGCTACTAGTTGCTTCTTTTAGGCCTCACAACTGCCTGAAACAGTTCTAGTAACTATACAGATGCAGATGCGTGAGCACCTTTGTATGCGAGCATGAGAGTCTGTACTGAGCCAGGTGTGGGCTCACACTGCTAAGGAGCAGCAGTGAGTGCAGAGAAAGAAAAGTGCGCATTTCTTATCATTTACCAATGCTCTAGAAAAGAGGGGCAACAGAGAATGAGACTGAAAAATACCTAACAGCTGCTCTTGACCCTTCCCTCTCTCAGCACTCCAGACTGAGAAGACACTTGACTCCAACTCCACTTCTAGTCACTCTGGCTTTGGATCAACTCTTAGCCAAATAAAAGAAATTAAAAGTTTGCTTAAAAATGAAAGTTACTTATTTAAAAAAAAACTTTTTTCTGATATTATAACAATTAAAATCTTTGCCTGCCTTGGAACTATAAACCCACATTTCAAACTACCTTTTCAGATAATTCCAAAAGGAAAACATGCAAAGACAGCCTTGTTGCTCTTTGGGCTTCTGTTTTTTGCAGTACTACAGAGGAATCAGTTCTTACACACAGGGGCATCCCTAGGTCCCGTCAAAGCGAGTTACACCGAGTACTCTGGAAGATACAGGCCTTACCTTTGTTGTCAAAGTATTTTAAGTCAGGCTGTCTCATAGAGCAGACACTGTAACAATGATCAGAAAAGATTCCACTGACTCCATCTGTGATTCTGTTTATTCCAGAAGAATCTGAATGTAAAACAAAATGAAGACAATTCCCAGCTTAGTGCCCAGATGCATGAGCTAGTCTGACATATTTTTTTGTCTATTTCCCCGCTATGTTAAAGACTGAACCCAGTGCCTTACACATACCAGGCAAGCCCTCTGCCTATAGCCCTAGTCTGTATTTTCATGATTTTAATGAGTTTCAATAGGAAAAATGTAGTGTGTTCCTCAGTTTTACACTTTAGATCAGACACTGGCGTTTGGCTTTAAAAAAGAGCCATAGACTAAACTGTAGTAACGCTTAAGAAGCTGAGTGACTGCTGCACACCCATGGTGGATCAGCAAGGCTTTAATTCTATAATGGAACCTTTACAAACAGGGGCTGGAGAGATGGCTCAGATACTCTGTTGCCAGGTTCAGTTTACAGCACCCACATGGTGGCTCACAACTGTAACTCAGCTCCAGGGGATCTAACACCTTCAAGCCTCCACCAGCACCAGGCTTATGGTGCATATATAAACATGTTGGCAAAACACTCATACACAAAAATAAATGTACCTTGAAACATATACAAGGAAACATTTGCCTAAAGTTTGAATCTCACAAAATATACATGTATAATAAATGCTGTGTTAAGGATTAAAACAGTGAATTAGCTACCATGAACTACTAAGAAGGCATGCCATGCCACCTAGGTGCCAAGAAAGCGTAATACATGAGGAGAACTAGTCTCAGGAGCAGAGAGAGCTTCTGAATACCAGTCATTCCAAACACTGCCTGGTAAGCATCAATAAATAAACAATAGACCAAGCTCACTTTCCTCATAAAGGACATGTGCAAGGAGTAAGCTAATGGGTATGCTGTATCAAGTATGTGTGCTAGAGATAGTCACAAAGATGATCTTCTTTCTTTGTTTTTTATGACAGGATTTCTTTGTGTGACCTTGGCTGTCTTGGAACTCTGCTCTATAGACCAGGCTGGCCTGGAGTGCTAGGCTTAAAGGCATGCACTACCAGTGATCTCATTTTCCTTTTTTTGTGATTGGATCTCATGTGGCCCAAGCTGACCTCACTCTGGATCTGTCCTGCCTCCATCTCTCAAGTGATGGGATGAGGCGAAACCAGGGCTTCATGTATACACTGAGCTATACCCCCAGCCCAGACCTCTTATGGTAAAAGAGCAGAGCCAACCTCTATCACAAATTACACAATCAAGATAAAAATTGGGGATATAGAGAGATGACTCAGTGACTAAGAAGAGCACTTGGGTTGCTCTTGCAGAGGACCTGGGTTCAGTTCTAGTTCCTCCATTATGGTTCACAACCATAATGTACTTCCAGGGGATCCAACACCCTCTTCTGACTTCTGTAGGCAACAGGCACGTACATGGTACCACATACACACGCCGATAAACATGCAAGACACATAATATAAAGGTCACAGTTCCAAAAAGTGTTCAAGATAAAGCTTTTTTCCCCTCAGTATTTTCTGCAAAAGTTATTGCTGCACCTTAAGCACAGTTTGTGACTCTGGATGATACGTGAGGAGTAAGCTGGGAACTCTAAAACGTCAAAGGTAAAGCACCCTGTAGACTCCATCTACAAGACATACGGGAAAATGGTCCAGACAGCATCTTATCATTTATGCAAATAGATGGGAATAACCACTACACGGAAGTTAATCCATTACTCTTTTGAAAATAATAATTATACACTAACCTGAATAACGAGAAGGATGTAAAGTCTTCCTTTTTCTTTTTTTAGGATATTCATTCATATCTTTTCAATCTAAAAAATGAAAAACATTCAGACATGGTACAATAACTAATATTATTGTATAAATTCTTTTGAGCCAAAGAATTTATTAGCAATAAGAAATGTGGGGGGAGGGGTGGAGAAATGGCTCAGCAGTTTTCTAAGAAGACTGGCTACTCTTCCAGAGGACCTGGGTTCAATTTCCAGCACCCATGTGGCAGCTCACTACTATCTGTAATTTGAATCTCAGGGACCGTGACTCCCTTCTGTGGCCTCCAAGGGTACCAAGAATGTATGTGGTACAAGACATCCATTCATATAAAATATTTTATAAAGAAATCTGTGTGGAACATGAAAATAGGTATCACAAGAACAACACTGCACAATGCCTCTCTCTATTGAAAATCGTCTGAGACTATATTGGTCTACATAAAGAGTTCCAGACCAGCCATGGTTACAAAGCGAGACCCTGTCAATCAAATACACATACCACTGCCTCCCCCCTCTACTTACCCCCCCAAGCCATTATATCTTTAGGCATATAACATTTCTACAGATTTCAAGTTAAATATGAATATCTTTCCTTTAAAAATATAGTTGTGAGTCTATTAACACAATGGCTTCCAGAAAAAAAAAAGATGGGTTATACAGAATCTTGGAATATAAGTAATTTTCAAGAAAGAAAAAAATCTTAATAATGATTATGATGTCATATTCAACATTCTACTGAGAAGTGTGGCAGCCACCAAACAACTAAATTCCCATGAACCATTAGAAAATTTACTAATTAGTTCAGCTGTATTCCACTTACTTGGTATAATTATCAATACTGCAGCAAGAAAAATGAATTACAGGCAAATTTCCACAGACGGCAAAAAATACCTACAAGTAAAAGAGACCAACAGTCATAAGCAATAGCATTACTGAATGAGCCGTAGCTCATGGGTAAAATGCTTCCACATCTTAAATTAGCCACAGAAAAAATGAACTCAGACATAATATTTATGCTTTTTAAACTCATAACAATTGCATATATTGATAAATACCCAATTTGGGAGGGGGGGAGGCGTGGTTTTCGAGACAGGGTTTCTCTGTAGCTTTGGAGCCTGTCCCTGAACTAGCTCTTGTAGACCAGGTTGGCCTTGAACTCACAGAGATCCACCTGCCTCTGCCTCCCGAGTGCTGGGATTAAAGGCATGTGCCACCATCACCTGGCTAAATACCCAATTATATGTAAAATTTTCATATTTCTTTAAAAAATTTTATAGTTATAGCCACAGCTGTATCTTGACATCAAAATCACAGTGTAAGTCTGCATTAATTTATTCAGTCATTAGAAAAATCACAAATGGCCAGGTGGTGGCGGCAGCGGAGCACGCCTTTAATCCCAGCGCTGCTGTGGGAGCTACTTTTGCTCCTTCAGCCAATAGCCTTTGAGATACCAGCCCACTGGGGTGTGGTATCTTTCACTTTAAAAATAGGCCAAGGCAGCCGGCCCTCCCTCCCTCCCTCCCTCCCTCCCTCCCTCTCTCTCTCTCTCTCTCTCTCTCTCTCTCTCTCTCTCTCTCCTTGCTTCCAATTCCGCTCCTGGCTATCAGACGCCTTTCCTGGTCGTGCAGGAGGCTGTTGTCTAGGACGGTGATCTGTAAGTTTTTTCCTTTTAAATAAATAACCCTTTTATTAATCTTAATTCCAAGTTGGTGTGGGATTGTTTTGTTTTGTGACTTACTCCATTACAGCACTCAGGAGACAGAGACAGGTGGATCTCTGCGAGTTAGTTCAAGGCCAGCTTGGTCTACAGAGTGAGTTTCAGGATAGGTTCCAAAGCTACAGAGAAACCCTGTCTCGAAAAACAAAAAACAACAACAACAAAAAATTAATAAAAAGAAGGAAGGAAGGAAGGAAAGTCGGTCACAAATGGCTGGTTGTGGTAGTCCACACCTTTAATCCCAGCAGCTCTCTGAGTTCAAGGCCAGCATGGTCTACTTAATGTGCTGTAGGCCAGCCAGAGCTATTACACAGAGAAACTGTCTAGAAAAAAAACCAAGAAAAATGTCAAAATATCCAAGCTCCTTCTCCCATTCTCCCATCTCAGCTTAACATCTGTCCATTGGTGCAGGGAGGGAGCACCTACATGCTGCTTTTCTCTCTCCACTTTTTCCCTGTGAGTTTCTTGAGACAGCGCCTACGTAGTCCTGTCTAGTCCTAAGACTCCACTTATGGTGGTCCTGCCCTGGCCTCTGGAGTCATTGCCCGAGAGGCACACACTACTAGGTTAGTCACTGTGCTGCATGTCACATGATCACACAATGAACAATGAACACATGTGCAGTTCCCATGTCTGAAGCACATTCTTCTCACTTAAGTCATCTCCCCAACAGTCCCACGAGGAACACAGAAGGGCTCCCTATCAAACTCACCTCATTTTAAGCAATGAAGAAACCAACTCCGATAAAGTCCATTATGACATAGCAGAACCAAAGATGGAACACTTGTCTTGGGACTGCTGGCGTCAATTAACTCTGTGTGTGTGGACCCTCATTGCTCCATACCGCCACCAGCAAGTTCATCTTGCCTCACGTTCTTAGCCACAGGTCAGAGGGGGGAAGCGATATCTGGGAAACTGACAGTCATATTCTTATAGAAACATTAGATACATACACAAAATGCCTCACCCAACACCATAAACAGCTTTCTTTTGTTTTTAGAGACAGTGTTTCTTGTAGCCCACATCTTAATATATATTAACTAATATGTCAAGAGGATATTTCAGATTGTTCAGAACATAAAAGGGAAACCAAACATGGAAATACAATGATTTAAAATAAAATAGCAAGTTGGATTTGGCCTGTAAAGAGAGAGAGAAGACAGGTGAGAGTCTGACTTCTACTTAGGACCGAACACCACCAAAGGCTTATTAGACCACTCACAACCAAACCTGCTAATCAAGCTTCACATAAGCAAACAGTATGGGCTTTTTGTATGCAAGTGTCTTCATAAAGACATTTGGAGTGTGCACACATGCAAACTGCCACAGCACAGGAGTGGAGTGTCCAGGGGATTGAACTCAGGTCATCAGGCGCCTTTACTTACGGAGCCATCTTGCCAGCTCCAGAAATTTAGCTTCTTAATCAAATATAAATCAGATAAACTTGTGCTCACTAATTCTCCTATCAAAAAGATTGTGAATCACCTGAAACTAACCTCTGCCCCCAATAATACACACATCACTGTAGAAAACCAGGACATTTAAAATTAAACCACCTAAAATCTATTCACTTAGAAAAAGTCAAATTTTGGTGATGTATCCAGTTTATAATGTAGTGCTTAAAAAAAAAAAAAAGCCAGGTGGCCAGGTGGCAGTGGTGGAGGCAGGCAGATCTCTTGTGAATTTGAGGCCAGCTAATCTACAGAACAGGTTCCAGGACAGCCAGGGCTGTGCCCACAGACAACCTTGTCTGGGGTAGGCGGAAGAACCACCCCCAAAATATCAAACAAAACCCTTCTATTTTGCTGAGTGTGGTGGTGCACGCCTTTATTCCCAGCCCTCAGGAGGCAGAGACAAGAGGATAGCTTTGATGTCTTGGTCAACCTGGTCTACATAATGAGTTCCAGAACCAGTCAGGAGTACATTGTGTTTCAAAAAAGAATGAACAGATGGGATGTGGTCATATGTTAACTCTGAATTTAATCTATATTTGGGGTTGTATTTGTTTGCTTGCTTGCTTGTTTCAACTCAAAGGTCTGCCTCTGCCTTCACCAGAGTGCAGGGATCAAAGGTATGCACCACCACTCCTGGCTGTGTCTTCATTTCTGAGAAAACATGAAAGAAAAAGTCCCACTTTAAAAAGCCCCAACCCCATTCTCAGGCAAAGGGCAGTCTGGCTGGCAGCCTACGTGTACATCCCTAAAAATCTGGGAGCACAATATGTGAAATCTTATTTTAAAAATCATCTTTCATAGCTGGGCCATGGTGGCACACGCCGTTAATCCCAGCACTTGGGAGGCAAAGACAGGTGGATCCCTGTGAATTCAAGGCCAGTCTAGTCTATGGATCTCAAGTTCCAGGACAGTTGGGGCTACACAAAGAAACCCTGTCTCTAAAAACTTAAAAAATCATCTTCCGTGTCAACAGCAGAGCTCAGGGGCTCACAGCTGGCATCCCAGCACTCAGGTGGCTGAGGTGAGGCTACACTGAAAGACTATCTCCTAAAAATAAAATAAACGGGTAACACACGTAGGCATCTTGGCACCTGACATCTTCAAAACACTGACTAGTAGTGCTTCCCTTTTCATGCAACTCTAGATGTCTCTACACAATGCAAAGATGGATTTTTAAAAACCTTGTTTTCGTGTGTGTGTGTATTGTGTAATACAAGAGAGGGTGTCTAATCTCCTGGAGATGGAAGTTACAGGCAATCATGAGCCTGCTCCAATTGGCTGTTCTCTCCAGCTCCCAACACAGGGTCGTTGCGTTTTCAAGACGTTTAAATTACTTTTATTTTTCACTACCATAAAAGTAAGTATTTTCAGGACCGGTGTGATGGCTCAGAAGGCGCTTACCGGCAAGCCTAACCTGAGTGATTCCCGGAACCCACATGGTGGAACAGACTTCTTGAAAGTTGTCCTCTGACCTCTACACTTGCGCGTGCCACACGTGCGCATGCATGCACACAATAAACACACATAATTTCAAGCATAAAAAGAGAATTTTCACATTCTGATTGAAGCTCGGCGTTGTGGCTCACGCCTCTAAGTTCAGCCTGGGCTACACAAGACCTTGTCACAAATAACAGGAATTGAAGCGGCTTTCGGAAAGTGCTGGTCCCATTTGGCC